ARMTGGTAAATTTTATCTTCACAGTCCATAGGTTTGATAGAGGGTTGCAATAAGTTCTACCTATGCCAGAGARCACWATTCCGGTTCGAGCAAATCTTTCAAAATTGTTTACTCRGCAACACAATGATGTGACATGTAAGCTGATACGTGACCCAAGTCACAAAGAACATAATCTGTTTACATAGCCAATTGTGTAACGCATYGAAGTAGCAGTGACACAAATTCTGTTGTATTCATCCAGTAGATGTTSCAAAGTTTTGAGTGAAACCGTTTCGCACATTACCAAGATGACAAGACTTCTTTTATTGATCTTCTTACTTCAAGAATTCACAAGCCTTTTGTACATTTGCCATGGGGTTGAAATTCGAGTCGCGCGTTCAGGACAAGATGACCTGACTTGTTTGAATGGTTCTCAATCTAATATTCCTTGCAAAAGTCTTGAATATGCTTTGGAAGGCATGGAAAAATTTGGTTCTRATAATAACACTGAAATAAGGATCTTATTGTTGGACAAGACGTATGATTTAAAGCGAAGAATTTCAATTTGGCAGCCACTACGTCATGGATATTTGTCAATCGAAGGCGGTTCAGGAGTCCAGTATAGCACGGTACTGCATTGTAAGGATTCAACAGCAGGATTTACTGTTGGCTCACAAACTCAAGAAAACGTAGCCAACAATATTAAATTCCAAAACCTGGTATTTCAGAACTGTGGACCTGACCTTGCTTCAGCTGTGCTAATTTGGAACGCATTGAATGTTACCTTCAGTGGCTGCATCTTTAGAAACAATCTTCAAGCAGCAATCAACGCCATTGATAGCAGTGTTATCATTGAAAGAACTAGTTTCCTAAACAACACATGCAACAAAAATATCTTTAACAGAACGCAAAGAACAAGGCCGTTTGTTTTGGGACGAGACTCTCAATCTGCTGGGACAGGTTTCTATTTCACCACATCTTYGAAACTTTCAGTAATAATTAAAGACTCCTATTATTTTAATAACACTGCTGTCGTTCATAAAAATCCAAATTACGTCTCCCCAGCTCGAAACGTGACCCACTTCGATGAAGGAGGCGGTGGGATTTCTATTGTGTTTGCGTTTCACACGAAGAAATGTGACGTTASTTTCGATAACTTAACGCTGGAAGCAAACTCCGCAACTTATGGCGGCGCGATTTACCTTGTAGAGTCAGGRAAATCCTCAGGGAATTCGCTAACACTAACGAACAGTACTTTTACGAGTAACTCGGGTGAGCAAGCAGGAGGGGGAGTTTGTACGTCTCAGTGGGACGATGCCAAGTCACTATCTATATATATTGMTGGSTGTCGGTTTGAAAAAAACTACGCCCGTAGAGGGGCAGGAGTTAATTCATTCTTCATGAGCGAGCTAGGACTCGCAGACTCGCAAATAAAAATCGTGCGGTCTGTGTTCACAMGAAATGACGCTCAGTCTTCAGCTGCRTGTCGATTTACTAGCTCTCTCCCATTTGGTAACGTGACTGGCAATGTYATTGACATGCAGGACTGCGAGATCTCCAGGCATCAAGTCGACAATCATAACACTCATACTTACCTAGCYCCTATCACTGTGCAAMGGCTTGATATAAGATTCAGCGGTCACACTAAAATATGGAAGAATTTTGGCGGCGGTGGGATGAGCGTGGAGAGCGGTGTGGTTCATGTAGATGGGAAACTCTCGTTTATGGACAATACTGGAACYCTWGGAGGTGCAGTKAGGCTGTGGTCGAGTCAAATAAAGCTATACCCGTATAGCGAATTGATTTTTATTGGCAATCATGCGAGGTCAAAYGGTGGGGCGTTGAATGTGGTSYTGTTTCCRAGCTACGAGATTATACATAAGTACAATACAGAYTGTTTCCTKTCGTATTCAGATAGTTTTAGTCCGCCATCACAATGGAAGGTATGTGTTGAAAGAAAATAGCATTTSKCATCATATTCTCGCGCCATCTTGGAAAAATGGCGGGAAAATWTCAAAATATTGACGCGCGCGCGATGTTATCCATGTCGTGTGAATGTGAAGTCGCAAATGTATCTTTTGCAGAGAAAAATCAATTTGTGCGATCTATGTGATCTGTATGCAGCAAAAAAAAGCACTAAAGTTCGGATTACCTTACTGTTACTATACATTTACCTTACTGTTGTTTTTATATGCAGAAGTTGTTTTCAAAAGAAACAGTGCACAGTTCAAAAGAGCCGCCATTTTGTTTCAACTTCTGTGCAACAAAAAAAGTAAAGTTCGTGGATATTAACCTTGCATGTTGTTGTTTTTATAGACGAAAGTGGTTTTCCAAGGAAACAGCGCCAAGTTCAAAGGAGCCGCCATTTTTGTTTCAACTCTTGGSTCTTGCYTGTGGGACGARGTATATCCGTACTACAGCTACGAGAGATCACTKCGATGGAGCAACGAGACGTTTATATATGATAAAAACTTTCTCCTGGTCGAAAACGATGTRCATTATATAGGAACGAAGTACGATATCGCGACTGATACGGCCGTGATCGTCCCAAAGAAAACTAAGCAGGTTAAAACGATCGAGGTAAAAATAATTGAAGGCCGTGATCACGGTTTTCCTGCAGGTGAAATCGTGGGATTAGATTAAACAGTGGTAGATTGTTTAGACCTGCACGCAATTAAAGGCCCAGTGTGCACCATTATACTTTGGGGGCCGTGCGGGCCTGGAGACGGCCATTTTTAGTTAAACGAGAGTCTATAAATTGTAGTGTGCGTTTCGAATCTTTGATCTCCTCACTTTTCTAATATAATAGTTTTCAACCATCTGACATTCGTTTTATGGTGATATTTGGATACTAGAAGTATTTTGTTGTAAATCATAACAATAACAGAGGCGCGCAAAGCATAATGGTGCAAACTGGGCCTTTAAGCAGGGCGCATTTCACAACATCTTTTCCGTGCTTTCGTTCATATTAAATTCAGTCAACCGATTTCTCAATCCATCCGTCTTTCTATCTCTTGACTCTATAATCACTATTCTATTCTATTTTTCCATTTTTCCTCCCATTTATCCATTTATTCAGAAAATGTCTCATCCAGCCATCTACCAATTCAAAGTATATTTCCGTCATGAATTTCCCTGATTCCAGCATTTTTAACTACACACATTCAAAAATCAAAATAACGTTACAATACACTTTCCATGTTATAGATGTACCCTGGAGAAAACCTAAACTTCTACCTTAAAGGCCTCGACGAGCTAAACAACGCAGTCTACACAATTGCAGACGTCAATGTCGCCAACATAACACACAACCTAACAGATAACCTCTACTTGGCAAACTATCTTCATGTTCTCGCTGACTGTACYAACAACACCATAGCAATGCAGTATTTCGCTCGAGGACGTGAMGCGTACAGAAGCATGATCAACAAAACACAYCTTATCAGTGTTGCAGGAGTGTATTCTGTGATGTCGGTTGAATTTACGTTTAAGATGAARTCCATTGCTTGTCCYCCTGGTTATTTGTTTGAAGACAAARCTTGTACTTGTGACCACAATAATCCTTCACTTTTGCGGTGGGTAAATTGGTATAATGAGATGGGTGCTCTCCAACCCCACCCTTCCTTTCCACTCCCCTCCCCCCTCCCCCTAGAATAGGCTTTCTGTAACTTTAAGGTCCACTTGCGCTGGCGATTTTTGCTGCAATTTTTAAGGCGATTTTCATAAATATATAAATGGTCGAAACTAGCGGTAAACTAGTGTGAGCTGCGTCGGTGTTTCTCTTTTTCATACAACTGCTTTAAAAAATATAATACATTTTGTCTTATTTTTTTGAGGACTAGAAGTTTTAGTTAGCTCATCTAAGTGTACTGAATAAACGTTTAAAAAAAGTTCATGCTGTTTAGCATTATTTTGTAGCATAAAAATGAACACAAAAATGGCCACAAAAATCGCCATAAAAATTATTAATGTAAACGGAACATTAAATGTCCTTTTCCTAAGCAATCACTCCATAACCCCTTTAGTGTTTGAATAAAAAGGAATGATTGAAATTGTATACAAGAAARTGTACAGCATTTTGAATGAGCGTTGCAGCATCGCTCTGCATGGCCCACTGCAATGCTACTAGACCGAAAAGGATTATGTTATCCTCAGTTGCGCAAACACGAGGCAAAYTTTAATTTTGAATTCGTTCACCTAGCATACATTATTTACAATGTTAGAGAGTTGTACACTCGTATATGGATGAGATAAATGACAACGGTTCTTCAYAAGAATGTAGTGTCTTATTACGTTATAATATAAGATGTCAGTATTTACTTGTTTTATATGAAAACCAACGCTTATTTATCAGTTTTAATTAATACGAGTGAATATAATTTCATCAACAGATGCCTAAGCAAAAGTAAACTCTACGTTAGGGAAGGCATTTGGGTCGGAYTATCACCAACTACTGGYAAACTCATAACCTATTACTGCCCATTCAGATACTGCCAGTGCAACAAAGATGAAAACGATATAAATGGTTGCTTACTCGACACGAAAAACTTAACTTCYCAATGTATTGAYGGCAGAGAAGGCTTTCTCTGTGGACAATGYTCCAAAGGACTCAGCGTTGGATTGAGAATGTACGACTGCGTAGAGTGCAAAGGAAGTGGATGGATACTCGGCGTTGTGTTCATTTTTGTAGTGATTCTTYTAGTTGTAGTGATTTATCTAAACCCAGGGATGAGCAAGGACCTTCGAGGACCTTTATTCTTCTTTCAAATGCTCCCCTTTGTCCTCAGCCAAAAAGATGAAGTCGGTCAAGTTGTCAAGATTGTYGGCTACTTGTTTGAGTTCGGYGGACCGTTTGTGTAYGTGTGGCGAACCTGCATAGCAGACGGTATYAACAAYCTTTACGCTATAGCTGCATCGTACAGCCTRCCAATGACATGTTTGCTCATCTTCCTAATTGCGTAYATCCTTAGYTCCAAACACATCATTCGAACCAAGCTGAGATCAACGTCAAGCCTCCAGTCTTTCTGGTTGATAACTCTGTTTATGTACAARTACTTAGTCGAAACGTCTCTACTTATTCTTCACTGTCCAATCATCGATGGGAAAATGGTCTTCTTCTATGATGGGAATATCCAGTGCTTTGAAGGCGAGCATATGCTTATTGCAGTGATWTCTTTGTTAGTGATCTGCACATGCGTYCTTCCACCTCCTATTATCATCATTCTACTCACCAAGGGATACTGGAARGTCGATCCCCAGTACTTGAGTACCTTGACTGAAGGATTACGRAGTCACTGTTTGTGGTGGTGGGCTGCGGACTTTGCGCGTCGTATTCTTATAGTTGGAACATTTGTTTTTATTCCCAATTGGAGGATTAAACAGGTACGAAATTATGTTTGATATATATTCAGTGAACGCAAATCGTGCATGCGCATATTYAGGAAAACACTTCTTGAATTATTCATGAGTCTACTGAGAGTGCAATAATGTTTATATTAACTTAAGCCATTAAAGAATCACAACCAACCGCTGTACCTTCCGAGCCCATTTTAGGTGGACACGAAAATGGCGGATTCGTAGGATTTCTTAAAGTGAGCGCGAATAGTCTTCCATCCTTTCAGTTTGGACAGAAATACATTTAACTAAGTACCTCACAGGTACTATCATTCTATAATCTATTGTATGCTTGACGCATTCAAACGCATATAAACAATAACACGAGCGCGGGCCTGTATTACGGTTGGTTGGGACTCTTTAGCCTGCGTTACATCCGTTTTTATACATGTTACGCATGTAACGTTTTGTAGATGTAACGCAGGCTAGGATTCTTCGAAATGACCGCGTATTGCAGTAAGTAATTCAACGATTAATTAATAATAACCATTTTGTCTGTTGTAGATGTGGATGATAATGATGTGTGCACTAGTGCTAACTCTCCATGCCAGCGTCCATCCATACAAGCGTCTGCGCACTAATGTCACAGAGACCGTCTATCTCTTTACTCTTGCTATACTGGCAATCATACAAACTCTGGATGACAAAGACAGTAGAAGCACAGTCTCCGGGCTACTTTTATCTGCAGCTACAATCCATTCTGGAGTTGTGGGCATCATCAAGTTTATAAACTTCTGCAGGAAGAAATGCCACTGGCACTGTCCAAGGAAGTTTAGGGGAAGAWCRCCGGGGAGATATCGATCGTTTGATGATCATTCTGCSGAAGTGAATCCAGTTACAGTCGATCCTGAAGTACGRGCGAAGCAGAATTTGTTTGATACAGTGTTTGCGTCGAGTAATGACAGTAGCAGTGGTGACTATCAACCTAATTCAMCCAAACCACGAACTTGTTAAAAACAATCAATAATTATTTTCATATTCATCGTATTGTCACATAGATTTTGAATTACATTAGAGAATCCGATCACTGTAAGAAAAGATCTGATACATTCATATTAATATATCGCAATTGAACAATTATCGAGTAAGCTGTACTCCAATAAATTTGTCATTTTCCATAGCTCATCAAAAATCACGATTTGGGGG